TCCCAAGTCTAGAGGAACTTCAACTTCAGTACAGCAACTCGAGGAATGCTCCGTGTACCCCAAATCGTCTCGAGATGAGAGCTGATTCCCTGGCTTAGACTGAAGACGTATGCCAACTTTCCAGAAGCTCCTCAGGAGGCTTCTCTCAGCCATAGGTATGTGGGAGGGACCCCGAGTTTGTTGGCTCAAGGGGAATATACAGCGAGAAGCCCTAACTAGAAAGGAGGCCGGATTTCCTTGCAGTGGATTGAATACAGGCTCGTCTTTCATCTCACAACATGAAGGGATGTCTGAATCCCCTGTGGAGACCTTAGAGAAAGCCCTAGGTCCCTGCCTCATTTTGACGGAATGCCTCACATCCCGCTGACACCTCGAGAGGCACGCGGAGTTCATTGCTTCAAAAGGTGACGATGCCTGACTCCTCTTGAATACTGATAGGAATCCCAAAATCCCTGTGGCTAATGGAAAGGGTCCTTGGGTGCCCTGCCTCACCTGTAGAAGCGTCCCTTTTGCCCTGCCAAGCCTCGAAGAGATTCCTGAGGTGTCCCTCGTTACGAGACAGGAGTCCTGACGTCACTGAAGAAACTCGTGTTTTGAAGGGCCTTCCCCGCCGTAAGTCGAGAACATACCCCAGTTCCCCACCGCAACTCGAGAAAAACCATGAGACTTCCCCCTAGAGGCGAGATGAGGCCCCATTCCCCTGCAGTGCATGCAGAGCTATTCCGTGATCCCATTCAAACAAGTCAGGAGCTTCGACTTGCTTAATGGATCTCGAGACAGTCCCCAAGAACACTGTCACCAGTCTAGACGGACCCTGAGGTCACCGCAGCAACGCAAAGCAGCTCCATTTGCCCCAAGTCAACTCGAGATGAGGCCCCATTCCCCTGCATTGACTCCAGAGCCATTCCCCGTTCCCCATTCAACACGACCGGTGGCTCAACTTCCTTCAGGCAACTCCAGAGATGCCCCGAGAACACTGTCCCAAGTCTAGAGGAATTCCAACTTCAGCACAGCAACTCGAGGAATGCTCCGTGTACCCCAAATCGTCTCGAGATGAGAGCTGATTCCCTGGCTTAGACTGAAGACGTATACCAACTTTCCAGAAGCTCCTCAGGAGGCTTCTCTCGGCCATAGTTATGTGGGAGGGACCCCGAGTTTGCTGCCTCAAGGGGAATATACAGCGAGAAGCCCTAACTCGAAAGGAGGCCGGATTTCTTTGCAGTGGCTTGAATACAGGCTCGTCTTTCATCTCACAACATGAAGGGATGTCTGAATCCCCTGTGGAGACCTTAGAGAAAGCCCTAGGTCCCTGCCTCATTTTGACGAAATGCCTCACATCCCGCTGACACGTCGAGAGGCACACGGAGTTCATTGCTTCAAAAGGTGACGATGCCTGACTCCTCTTGAATACTGATAGGAATCCCAAAATCCCTGTGGCTACTGGAAAGGGTCCTTGGGTGCCCTGCCTCACCTCGAGAAGCGTCCCTTTTGCCCTGCCAAGCCTCGAAGATATTCCTGAGGTGTCCCTCGTTACTAGTCAGGAGTCCTGACGTCACTGAAGAAACTCGTGTTTTGAAGGGCCATCCCCGCCGTAAGTCGAGAACATACCCCAGATCCCCGCCGCAACTCGAGAAAAACCATGAGACTTCCCCCTAGAGGAGAGATGAGGCCCCATTCCCCTGCAGTGCATGCAGAGCTATTCCGTGATCCCATTCAAACAAGTCAGGATCTTCGACTTGCTTAATGGATCTCGAGACAGTCCCCAAGAACACTGTCACCAGTCTAGACGGACCCTGAGGTCACCCCAGCAACGCAAAGCAGCTCCATATCCCCCAAATCAACTCGAGATGAGGCCCGATTCCCCTGCATTGACTCCTGAGCCATTCCCCGTTCCCCATGCAACACGACCGGTGGCTCGACTTCCTTCAGGCAACTCCAGAGATGCCCCGAGAACACTGTCCCAAATCTAGAGGAACACCAACTTCAGCACAACAACTCGAGGAATGCTCCGTGTACCCCAAATCGTCTCGAGATGAGAGCTGATTCCCTGGCTTAGGCTCAAGACGTATGCCAACTTTCCAGAAGCACCTCAGAGGAGGCTTCTCTCAGCAATAGCTATGTGGGAGAGACCGCGAGTTTGCTGCCTCAAGGGGAATATACAGCGAGAAGCCCAAACTTGAAAGGAGGACGGATTTCCTTGCAGTGGCTTGAATACAGGCTCGTCTTTCATCTCACAACATGAAGGGATGTCTGAATCCCCTGTGGAGACCTTAGAGAAATCCCTAGGTCCCTGCCTCATTTTGACGGAATGCCTCACATCCCGCTGACACCTCGAGAGGCACGCGGAGTTCATTGCTTCAAAAGGTGACGATGCCTGACTCCTCTTGAATACTGATAGGAATCCCCAAATCCCTGTGGCTACTGGAAAGGGTCCTTGGGTGCCCTGCCTCACCTGTAGAAGCGTCCCTTTTGCCCTGCCAAGCCTCGAAGAGATTCCTGAGATGTCCCTCGTTACTAGACAGGAGTCCTGACGTCACTGAAGAAACTCGTGTTTTGAAGGGCCATCCCCGCCGTAAGTCGAGAACATACCCCAGGTCCCCACCGCAACTCGAGAAAAACCATGAGACTTCCCCCTAGGGGCGAGATGAGGCCCCATTCCCCTGCAGTGGATGCAGAGCTATTCCGTGATCCCATTCAAACAAGTCAGGAGCTTCGACTTGCTTAATGGATCTCGAGACAGTCCCCAAGAGCACTGTCACCAGTCTAGACGAAACCTGAGATCACCGCAGCAACGCAAAGCAGCTCCATGTGCCCCAAATCAACTCGAGATGAGGCTCGATTCCCCTGGATTGACTCCAGAGCCATTCCCCGTTCCCCATTCAACACGACCGGTGGCTCGACTTCCTTCAGGCAACTCCAGAGATGCCCCGAGAACACTATCCGAAGTCTACAGGAACACCAACTTCAGCACAGCAACTCGAGGAATGCTCCGTATACCCCAAAACGTCTCGAGATGAGAGCTGATTCCCTGGCTTAGGCTCAAGACGTATGCCAACTTTCCAGAAGCACCTCAGGAGGAGGCTTCTCTCAGCAATATGTATGTGGGTGGGACCCCGAGTATGCTGCCTCAAGGGGAATATACAGCGAGAAGCCCTAACTTGAAAGGAGGCCGGATTTACTTGCAGTGGCTAGAATACAGGCTCGTTTTTGATCTCAAAACCTGAAGGGATGTCTGAATCCCCTGTTGAGACCTTAGAGAAAGCCCTAGGTCCCTGCCTAATTTTGACGGAATGCCTCACATCGCGCTGACACCTCGAGAGGCACACGGAGTTCATTGCTTCAAAAGGTGACGATGCCTGACTCCTCTTGAATACTGATAGGAATCCCAAAATCCCTGTGGCTACTGGAAAGGGTCCTTGGGTGCCCTGCCTCACCTATACAAGTGTTCCTTTTGCCCTGCCAAGCCTCGAAGATATTCCCGAGGTGTCCCTCGTTACGAGACAGGAGTCCTGACGTCACTGAAGAAACTCGTGTTTTGAAGGGCCATCCCCGCCGTAAGTCGAGAACATACCCCAGGTCCCCACCGCAACTCGAGAAAAACCATGAGACTTCCCCCTAGAGGCGAGATGAGGCCCCATTCCCCTGCAGTGCATGCAGAGCTATTCCGTGATCCCATTCAAACAAGTCAGGAGCTTCGACTTGCTTAATGGATCTCGAGACAGTCCCCAAGAACACTGTCACCAGTCTAGACGGACCCTGAGGTCACCACAGCCACGCAAAGCAGCTCCATGTCCCCCAAATCAACTCGAGATGAGGCCCGATTCCCCTGCATTGACTCCAGGGCCATTCCCCGTACCCTATTCAACACGACCGGTGGCTCGACTTCCTTCACACAACTCCAGAGATGCCCCGAGAACACTGTTCCAAGTCTAGAGGAACAACAACTTCAGCGCAACAACTCGAGGAATGCTCCGTGTACCCCAAATCGTCTCGAGATGAGAGCTGATTCCCTGGCTTAGGCTCAAGACGTATGCCAACTTTCCAGAAGCACCTCGGAGGAGGCTTCTCTCAGCAATAGGTTTGTGGGAGGGACCCCGAGTATGCTGCCTCAAGGGGAATATACAGCGAGAAGCCCTAACTTGAAAGGTGGCCGGATTTCCTTGCAGTGGCTAGAATACAGGCTCGTCTTTGATCTCAAAACCTGAAGGGATGTCTGAATCCCCTGTGGAGACCTTAGAGAAAGCCCTAGGTCCCTGCCTCATTTTGACGGAATGCCTCACATCGCGCTGACACCTCGAGAGGCACGTGGAGTTCATTGCTTCAAAAGGTGACGATTCCTGACTCCTCTTGAATAATGATAGGAATCCCAAAATCCCTGTGGCTACTGGAAAGGGTCCTTGGGTGCCCTGCCTCACCTCGAGAAGCGTCCCTTTTGCCCTGCCAAGCCTCGAAGAGATTCCTGAGGTGTCCCTCGTTACTAGACAGGAGTCCTGACGTCACTGAAGAAACTCGTGTTTTGAAGGGCCATCCCCGCCTTAAGTCGAGAACATACCCCAGGTCCCCGCCGCAACTCGAGAAAAACCATGAGACTTCCCCCTAGAGGCGAGATGAGGGCCCATTCCCCTGCAGTGCATGCAGAGCTATTCCGTGATCCCATTCAAACAAGTCAGGAGCTTCGACTTGCTTAATGGATCTCGAGACAGTCCCCAAGAACACTGTCACCAGTCTAGACGGACCCTGAGGTCACCCCAGCAACGCAAAGCAGCTCCATGTCCCCCAAATCAACTCGAGATGAGGCCGGATTCCCCTGCATTGACTCCAGAGCCATTCCCCGTTACCCATTCAACAAGACCGGTGGCTCGACTTCCTTCAGGCAACTCTAGAGATGCCCCGAGAACACTGCCCCAAGTCTAGAGGAACTCCAACTTCAGCACAGCAACTCGAGGAATGCTCCGTGTACCCCAAATCGTCTCGAGATGAGAGCTGATTCCCTGGCTTAGGCTCAAGACATATGCCAACTTTCCTGAAGCACCTCAGGAGGAGGCTTCTCTCAGCAATAGGTATGTGGGAGGGACCTCGAGTTTGCTGCCTCAAGGGGAATATACAGCAAGAAGCCCTAACTTGAATGGAGGCCGGATTTCCTTGCAGTGGCTTGAATACAGGCTCGTCTTTCATGTCACAACATGAAGGGATGTCTGAATCCCCTGTGGAGACCTTAGAGAAAGCCCTAGGTCCCTGCCTCATTTTGACGGAATGCCTCACATCCCGCTGACACCTCGAGAGGCAGGCGGAGTTCATTGCTTCAAAAGGTGACGATGCCTGACTCCTCTTGAATACTGATAGGAATCCCAAAATAACTCTGGCTACTGGAAAGGGTCCTTGGGTGCCCTGCCACACCTCGAGAAGCGTCCCTTTTGCCCTGCCAAGCCTCGAAGAGATTCCTGAGGTGTCCCTCGTTACTAGACAGGAGTCCTGACGTCACTGAAGAAACTCGTGTTTTGAAGGGCCATCCCCGCCGTAGGTCGAGAACATACCCCAGGTCCCCACCACAACTCGAGAAAAACCATGAGACTTCCCCCTAGAGGCGAGATGAGGCCCCATTCCCCTGCAGTGCATGCAGAGCTATTCCGTGATCCCATTCAAAAAAGTCAGGAGCTTCTACTTGCTTAATGGATCTCAAGACATTCCTGAAGAACACTGTCACCAGTCTAGACGGACCCTGAGGTCACCGCAACAAAGAAAAGCAGCTCCATGTGCCCCAAATCAACTCGAGATGAGGTCCAATTCCCCTGCATTGACGCCAGAGCCTTTCCCGGTTCCCCATTCAACACGACCGGTGGCTCGACTTCCTTCAGGCAACTCCAGAGATGCCCCGAGAACACTGTCCCAAGTCCAGAGGAACACCAACTTCAGCACAGCAACTCGAGGAATGCTCCGTGTACCCCAAATCGTCTCGAGATGAGAGCTGATTCCCTGGCTTAGGCTCAAGACGTATGCCAACTTTCCAGAAGCACCTCAGGAGGAGGCTTCTCTCAGCAATAGGTATGTGGGAGGGACCCCGAGTATGCTGCCTCAAGGGGAATATACAGCGAGAAGCCCTAACTTGAAAGGAGGCCGGATTTCCTTGCAGTGGCTTGAATACAGGCTCATCTTTCATCTCACAACATGAAGGTATGTCTGAATCCCCTGTGGAGACCTTAGAGAAAGCCCTAGGTCCCTGCGTCTTTTTGACGGAATGCCTCATATCCCGCTGACACCTTGAGAGGCACGCGGAGTTCATTGCTTCAAAAGGTGACGATGCCTGACTCCTCTTGAATACTGATAGGAATCCCAAAATCCCTGTGGCTACTGGAAAGGGTCCTTTGGTGCCCTGCGTCACCTCGAGAAGCGTCCCTTTTGCCCTGCCAAGCCTCGAAGGGATTCCTGAGGTGTCCCTCGTTACTAGACAGGAGTCCTGACGTCACTGAAGAAACTCGTGTTTTGAAGGGCCATCCGCGCCTTAAGTCGAGAACATACCCCAGGTCCCCGCCGCAACTCGAGAAAAACCATGAGACTTCCCCCTAGAGGCGAGATGAGGCCCCATTCCCCTGCAGTGCATGCAGAGCTATTCCGTGATCCCATTCAAACAAGTCAGGAGCTTCGACTTGCTTAATGGATCTCGAGACAGTCCCCAAGAACACTGTCACCAGTCTAGACGGACCCTGAGGTCACCGCAGCAACGCAAAGCAGCTCCATGTGCCCCAAATCAACTCGAGATGAGGCCCGATTCCCCTGCATTGACTCCAGAGCCTTTCCCCGTTCCCCATTCAACACGGCCGGTGGCTCAACTTCCTTCAGGCAACTCCAGAGATGCCCCGAAAACACTGTCCCAAGTCTAGAGGAACACCAACTTCAGCACAGCAATTCGAGGAATGCTCCGTGCACCCCAAATCGTCTCGAGATGAGAGCTGATTACCTGGCTTAGGCTCAAGACGTATGCCAACTTTCCAGAAGCACCTCGGAGGAGGCTTCTCTCAGCAATAGGTTTGTGGGAGGGACCCCGAGTATGCTGCCTCAAGGGGAATATACAGCGAGAAGCCCTAACTTGAAAGGAGGCCGGATTTCCTTGCAGTGGCTAGAATACAGGCTCGTCTTTGATCTCAAAACCTGAAGGGATGTCTGAATCCCCTGTGGAGACCTTAGAGAAAGCCCTAGGTCCCTGCCTCATTTTGACGGAAAGCCTCACATCGCGCTGACACCTCGAGAGGCACGTGGAGTTCATTGCTTCAAAAGGTGACGATGCGTGACTCCTCTTGAATACTGATAGGAATCCCAAAATCCCTGTGGCTACTGGAAAGGGTCCTTGGGTGCCCTGCCTCACCTCGAGAAGCGTCCCTTTTGCCCTGCCAAGCCTCGAAGAGATTCCTGACGTGGCCCTCGTTACTAGACAGGAGTCCTGACGTCACTGAAGAAACTCGTGTTTTGAAGGGCCATCCCCGCCGTAAGTCGAGAACATACTCCAGGTCCCCACCGCAACTCGAGAAAAACCATGAGACTTCCCCGTAGAGGCGAGATGAGGCCCCATTCCCATGCAGTGCATGCAGAGCTATTCCGTGATCCCATTCAAACAAGTCAGGAGCTTCTACTTGCTTAATGGATCTCGAGACAGTCCCCAAGAACACTGTCACCAGTCTAGACTTAAGTTGAGGTCACCCCAGCAACGGAAAGCAGCTCCATGTGCCCCAAGTCAACTCGAGATGAGGCCCGATTCCCCTGCATTGACTCCAGAGCCATTCCCCGTTCCCCATTCAACACGACCGGTGGCTCGACTTCCTTCAGGCAACTCCAGAGATGCCCCGAGAACACTGTCCCAAGTCTAGAGGAACTCCAAGTTCAGCAGAGCAACTCGAGGAATGCTCCGTGTACCCCATATCGTCTCGAGATGAGAGCTGATTCCCTGGCTTAGGCTCAAGACGTATGCCAACTTTCCAGAAGCACCTCAGGAGGAGGCTTCTCTCAGCAATAGGTATGTGGGAGGGACCCCGAGTTTGCTGCCTCAAGGGGAATATACAGCGAGAAGCCCTAACTTGAAAGGAGGCCGGATTTCCTTGCAGTGGCTTGAATACAGGCTCGTCTTTCATGTCACAACATGAAGGGATGTCTGAATCCCCTGTGGAGACCTTAGAGAAAGCCCTAGGTCCCTGCCTCATTTTGACGGAATGCCTCACATCCCGCTGACACCTCGAGAGGCACGCGGAGTTCATTGCTTCAAAAGGTGACGATGCCTGACTCCTCTTGAATACTGATAGGAATCCCAAAATAACTCTGGCTACTGGAAAGGGTCCTTGGGTGCCCTGTCACACCTCGAGAAGCGTCCCTTTTGCCCTTCCAAGCCTCGAAGAGATTCCTGAGGTGTCCCTCGTTACTAGACAGGAGTCCTGACGTCACTGAAGAAACTCGTGTTTTGAAGGGCCATCCCCGCCGTAAGTCGAGAACATACCCCAGGTCCCCACCACAACTCGAGAAAAACCATGAGACTTCCCCCTAGAGGCGAGATGAGGCCCCATTCCCCTGCAGTGCATGCAGAGCTATTCCGTGATCCCATTCAAAAAAGTCAGGAGCTTCTACTTGCTTAATGGATCTCAAGACAGTCCCGAAGAACACTGTCACCAGTTTAGACGGACCCTGAGGTCACCGCAACAACGCAAAGCAGCTCCATGTGCCCCAAATCAACTCGAGATGAGGCCCAATTCCCCTGCATTGACTCCAGAGCCTTTCCCCGTTCCCCATTCAACACGACCGGTTGCTCGACTTCCTTCAGGCAACTCCAGAGATGCCCCGAGAACACTGTCCCAAGTCCAGAGGAACACCAACTTCAGCACAGCAACTCGAGGAATGCTCCGTGTACCCCAAATCGTCTCGAGATGAGAGCTGATTCCCTGGCTTAGGCTCAAGACGTATGCCAACTTCCCAGAAGCACCTCAGGAGGAGGTTTCTCTCAGCAATAGGTATGTGGGAGGGACCCCGAGTATGCTGCCTCAAGGGGAATATACAGCGAGAAGCAATAACTTGAAAGGAGGCCGGATTTCCTTGCAGTGGCTTGAATACAGGCTCGTCTTTCATCTCACAACATGAAGGTAGGTCTGAATCCCCTGTGGAGACCTTAGAGAAAGCCGTAGGTCCCTGCGTCTTTTTGACGGAATGCCTCATATCCCGCTGACACTTCGATAGGCACGCGGAGTTCATTGCTTCAAAAGGTGACGATGCCTGACTCCTCTTGAATACTGATAGGAATCCCAAAATCCCTGTGGCTACTGGAAAGGGTCCTTGGGTGCCCTGCCTCACCTCGAGAAGCGTCCCTTTTGCTCTGCCAAGCCTCGAAGAGATTCCTGAGGTGTCCCTCGTTACTAGACAGGAGTCCTGACGTCACTGAAGAAACTCGTGTTTTGAAGGGCCATCCGCGCCTTAAGTCGAGAACATACCCCAGGTCCCCGCCGCAACTCGAGAAAAACCATGAGACTTCCCCCTAGAGGCGAGATGAGGCCCCATTCCCCTGCAGTGCATGCAGAGCTATTCCGTGATCCCATTCAAACAAGTCAGGAGCTTCGACTTGCTTAATGGATCTCGAGACAGTCCCCAAGAACACTGTCACCAGTCTAGACGGACCCTGAGGTCACCGCAGCAACGCAAAGCAGCTCCATGTGCCCCAAATCAACTCGAGATGAGGCCCGATTCCCCTGGATTGACTCCAGAGCCTTTCCCCGTTCCCCATTCAACACGACCGGTGGCTTGACTTCCTTCAGGCAACTCCAGAGATGCCCCGAGAACACTGTCCCAAGTCTAGAGGAACACCAACTTCAGCACAGCAACTCGAGGAATGCTCCGTGTACCCCAAATCGTCTCGAGATGAGAGCTGATTCCCTGGCTTAGGCTCAAGACGTATGCCAACTTTCCAGAAGCACCTCGGAGGAGGCTTCTCTCAGCAATAGGTTTGTGGGAGGGACCCCGAGTATGCTGCCTCAAGGGGAATATACAGCGAGAAGCCCTAACTTGAAAGGTGGCCGGATTTCCTTGCAGTGGCTAGAATACAGGCTCGTCTTTGATCTCAAAACCTGAAGGGATGTCTGAATCCCCTGTGGAGACCTTAAAGAAAGCCCTAGGTCCCTGCCTCATTTTGACGGAATGCCTCACATCGCGCTGACACCTCGAGAGGCACGTGGAGTTCATTGCTTCAAAAGGTGACGATTCCTGACTCCTCTTGAATAATGATAGGAATCCCAAAATCCCTGTGGCTACTGGAAAGGGTCCTTGGGTGCCCTGCCTCACCTCGAGAAGCGTCCCTTTTGCCCTGCCAAGCCTCGAAGAGATTCCTGAGGTGTCCCTCGTTACTAGACAGGAGTCCTGACGTCACTGAAGAAACTCGTGTTTTGAAGGGCCATCCCCGCCTTAAGTCGAGAACATACCCCAGGTCCCCGCCGCAACTCGAGAAAAACCATGAGACTTCCCCCTAGAGGCGAGATGAGGGCCCATTCCCCTGCAGTGCATGCAGAGCTATTCCGTGATCCCATTCAAACAAGTCAGGAGCTTCGACTTGCTTAATGGATCTCGAGACAGTCCCCAAGAACACTGTCACCAGTCTAGACGGACCCTGAGGTCACCCCAGCAACGCAAAGCAGCTCCATGTCCCCCAAATCAACTCGAGATGAGGCCGGATTCCCCTGCATTGACTCCAGAGCCATTCCCCGTTACCCATTCAACAAGACCGGTGGCTCGACTTCCTTCAGGCAACTCTAGAGATGCCCCGAGAACACTGCCCCAAGTCTAGAGGAACTCCAACTTCAGCACAGCAACTCGAGGAATGCTCCGTGTACCCCAAATCGTCTCGAGATGAGAGCTGATTCCCTGGCTTAGGCTCAAGACGTATGCCAACTTTCCAGAAGCACCTCAGGAGGAGGTTTCTCTCAGCAATAGGTATGTGGGAGGGACCCCGAGTATGCTGCCTCAAGGGGAATATACAGCGAGAAGCAATAACTTGAAAGGAGGCCGGATTTCCTTGCAGTGGCTTGAATACAGGCTCGTCTTTCATCTCACAACATGAAGGTAGGTCTGAATCCCCTGTGGAGACCTTAGAGAAAGCCGTAGGTCCCTGCGTCTTTTTGACGGAATGCCTCATATCCCGCTGACACTTCGATAGGCACGCGGAGTTCATTGCTTCAAAAGGTGACGATGCCTGACTCCTCTTGAATACTGATAGGAATCCCAAAATCCCTGTGGCTACTGGAAAGGGTCCTTGGGTGCCCTGCCTCACCTCGAGAAGCGTCCCTTTTGCTCTGCCAAGCCTCGAAGAGATTCCTGAGGTGTCCCTCGTTACTAGACAGGAGTCCTGACGTCACTGAAGAAACTCGTGTTTTGAAGGGCCATCCGCGCCTTAAGTCGAGAACATACCCCAGGTCCCCGCCGCAACTCGAGAAAAACCATGAGACTTCCCCCTAGAGGCGAGATGAGGCCCCATTCCCCTGCAGTGCATGCAGAGCTATTCCGTGATCCCATTCAAACAAGTCAGGAGCTTCGACTTGCTTAATGGATCTCGAGACAGTCCCCAAGAACACTGTCACCAGTCTAGACGGACCCTGAGGTCACCGCAGCAACGCAAAGCAGCTCCATGTGCCCCAAATCAACTCGAGATGAGGCCCGATTCCCCTGGATTGACTCCAGAGCCTTTCCCCGTTCCCCATTCAACACGACCGGTGGCTTGACTTCCTTCAGGCAACTCCAGAGATGCCCCGAGAACACTGTCCCAAGTCTAGAGGAACACCAACTTCAGCACAGCAACTCGAGGAATGCTCCGTGTACCCCAAATCGTCTCGAGATGAGAGCTGATTCCCTGGCTTAGGCTCAAGACGTATGCCAACTTTCCAGAAGCACCTCGGAGGAGGCTTCTCTCAGCAATAGGTTTGTGGGAGGGACCCCGAGTATGCTGCCTCAAGGGGAATATACAGCGAGAAGCCCTAACTTGAAAGGTGGCCGGATTTCCTTGCAGTGGCTAGAATACAGGCTCGTCTTTGATCTCAAAACCTGAAGGGATGTCTGAATCCCCTGTGGAGACCTTAGAGAAAGCCCTAGGTCCCTGCCTCATTTTGACGGAATGCCTCACATCGCGCTGACACCTCGAGAGGCACGTGGAGTTCATTGCTTCAAAAGGTGACGATTCCTGACTCCTCTTGAATAATGATAGGAATCCCAAAATCCCTGTGGCTACTGGAAAGGGTCCTTGGGTGCCCTGCCTCACCTCGAGAAGCGTCCCTTTTGCCCTTCCAAGCCTCGAAGAGATTCCTGAGGTGTCCCTCGTTACTAGACAGGAGTCCTGACGTCACTGAAGAAACTCGTGTTTTGAAGGGCCATCCCCGCCTTAAGTCGAGAACATACCCCAGGTCCCCGCCGCAACTCGAGAAAAACCATGAGACTTCCCCCTAGAGGCGAGATGAGGGCCCATTCCCCTGCAGTGCATGCAGAGCTATTCCGTGATCCCATTCAAACAAGTCAGGAGCTTCGACTTGCTTAATGGATCTCGAGACAGTCCCCAAGAGCACTGTCACCAGTCTAGACGAAACCTGAGATCACCGCAGCAACGCAAAGCAGCTCCATGTGCCCCAAATCAACTCGAGATGAGGCTCGATTCCCCTGGATTGACTCCAGAGCCATTCCCCGTTCCCCATTCAACACGACCGGTGGCTCGACTTCCTTCAGGCAACTCCAGAGATGCCCCGAGAACACTATCCGAAGTCTACAGGAACACCAACTTCAGCACAGCAACTCGAGGAATGCTCCGTATACCCCAAAACGTCTCGAGATGAGAGCTGATTCCCTGGCTTAGGCTCAAGACGTATGCCAACTTTCCAGAAGCACCTCAGGAGGAGGCTTCTCTCAGCAATATGTATGTGGGTGGGACCCCGAGTATGCTGCCTCAAGGGGAATATACAGCGAGAAGCCCTAACTTGAAAGGAGGCCGGATTTACTTGCAGTGGCTAGAATACAGGCTCGTTTTTGATCTCAAAACCTGAAGGGATGTCTGAATCCCCTGTTGAGACCTTAGAGAAAGCCCTAGGTCCCTGCCTAATTTTGACGGAATGCCTCACATCGCGCTGACACCTCGAGAGGCACACGGAGTTCATTGCTTCAAAAGGTGACGATGCCTGACTCCTCTTGAATACTGATAGGAATCCCAAAATCCCTGTGGCTACTGGAAAGGGTCCTTGGGTGCCCTGCCTCACCTATACAAGTGTTCCTTTTGCCCTGCCAAGCCTCGAAGATATTCCCGAGGTGTCCCTCGTTACGAGACAGGAGTCCTGACGTCACTGAAGAAACTCGTGTTTTGAAGGGCCATCCCCGCCGTAAGTCGAGAACATACCCCAGGTCCCCACCGCAACTCGAGAAAAACCATGAGACTTCCCCCTAGAGGCGAGATGAGGCCCCATTCCCCTGCAGTGCATGCAGAGCTATTCCGTGATCCCATTCAAACAAGTCAGGAGCTTCGACTTGCTTAATGGATCTCGAGACAGTCCCCAAGAACACTGTCACCAGTCTAGACGGACCCTGAGGTCACCACAGCCACGCAAAGCAGCTCCATGTCCCCCAAATCAACTCGAGATGAGGCCCGATTCCCCTGCATTGACTCCAGGGCCATTCCCCGTACCCTATTCAACACGACCGGTGGCTGGACTTCCTTCACACAACTCCAGAGATGCCCCGAGAACACTGTTCCAAGTCTAGAGGAACAACAACTTCAGCGCAACAACTCGAGGAATGCTCCGTGTACCCCAAATCGTCTCGAGATGAGAGCTGATTCCCTGGCTTAGGCTCAAGACGTATGCCAACTTTCCAGAAGCACCTCGGAGGAGGCTTCTCTCAGCAATAGGTTTGTGGGAGGGACCCCGAGTATGCTGCCTCAAGGGGAATATACAGCGAGAAGCCCTAACTTGAAAGGTGGCCGGATTTCCTTGCAGTGGCTAGAATACAGGCTCGTCTTTGATCTCAAAACCTGAAGGGATGTCTGAATCCCCTGTGGAGACCTTAGAGAAAGCCCTAGGTCCCTGCCTCATTTTGACGGAATGCCTCACATCGCGCTGACACCTCGAGAGGCACGTGGAGTTCATTGCTTCAAAAGCTGACGATTCCTGACTCCTCTTGAATAATGATAGGAATCCCAAAATCCCTGTGGCTACTGGAAAGGGTCCTTGGGTGCCCTGCCTCACCTCGAGAAGCGTCCCTTTTGCCCTGCCAAGCCTCGAAGAGATTCCTGAGGTGTCCCTCGTTACTAGACAGGAGTCCTGACGTCACTGAAGAAACTCGTGTTTTGAAGGGCCATCCCCGCCTTAAGTCGAGAACATACCCCAGGTCCCCGCCGCAACTCGAGAAAAACCATGAGACTTCCCCCTAGAGGCGAGATGAGGGCCCATTCCCCTGCAGTGCATGCAGAGCTATTCCGTGATCCCATTCAAACAAGTCAGGAGCTTCGACTTGCTTAATGGATCTCGAGACAGTCCCCAAGAACACTGTCACCAGTCTAGACGGACCCTGAGGTCACCCCAGCAACGCAAAGCAGCTCCATGTCCCCCAAATCAACTCGAGATGAGGCCGGATTCCCCTGCATTGACTCCAGAGCCATTCCCCGTTACCCATTCAACAAGACCGGTGGCTCGACTTCCTTCAGGCAACTCTAGAGATGCCCCGAGAACACTGCCCCAAGCCTAGAGGAACTCCAACTTCAGCACAGCAACTCGAGGAATGCTCCGTGTACCCCAAATCGTCTCGAGATGAGAGCTGATTCCCTGGCTTAGGCTCAAGACATATGCCAACTTTCCTGAAGCACCTCAGGAGGAGGCTTCTCTCAGCAATAGGTATGTGGGAGGGACCTCGAGTTTGCTGCCTCAAGGGGAATATACAGCAAGAAGCCCTAACTTGAATGGAGGCCGGATTTCCTTGCAGTGGCTTGAATACAGGCTCGTCTTTCATGTCACAACATGAAGGGATGTCTGAATCCCCTGTGGAGACCTTAGAGAAAGCCCTAGGTCCCTGCCTCATTTTGACGGAATGCCTCACATCCCGCTGACACCTCGAGAGGCAGGCGGAGTTCATTGCTTCAAAAGGTGACGATGCCTGACTCCTCTTGAATACTGATAGGAATCCCAAAATAACTCTGGCTACTGGAAAGGGTCCTTGGGTGCCCTGCCACACCTCGAGAAGCGTCCCTTTTGCCCTGCCAAGCCTCGAAGAGATTCCTGAGGTGTCCCTCGTTACTAGACAGGAGTCCTGACGTCACTGAAGAAACTCGTGTTTTGAAGGGCCATCCCCGCCGTAGGTCGAGAACATACCCCAGGTCCCCACCACAACTCGAGAAAAACCATGAGACTTCCCCCTAGAGGCGAGATGAGGCCCCATTCCCCTGCAGTGCATGCAGAGCTATTCCGTGATCCCATTCAAAAAAGTCAGGAGCTTCTACTTGCTTAATGGATCTCAAGACATTCCTGAAGAACACTGTCACCAGTCTAGACGGACCCTGAGGTCACCGCAACAAAGAAAAGCAGCTCCATGTGCCCCAAATCAACTCGAGATGAGGTCCAATTCCCCTGCATTGACGCCAGAGCCTTTCCCGGTTCCCCATTCAACACGACCGGTGGCTCGACTTCCTTCAGGCAACTCCAGAGATGCCCCGAGAACACTGTCCCAAGTCCAGAGGAACACCAACTTCAGCACAGCAACTCGAGGAATGCTCCGTGTACCCCAAATCGTCTCGAGATGAGAGCTGATTCCCTGGCTTAGGCTCAAGACGTATGCCAACTTTCCAGAAGCACCTCAGGAGGAGGCTTCTCTCAGCAATAGGTATGTGGGAGGGACCCCGAGTATGCTGCCTCAAGGGGAATATACAGCGAGAAGCCCTAACTTGAAAGGAGGCCGGATTTCCTTGCAGTGGCTTGAATACAGGCTCATCTTTCATCTCACAACATGAAGGTATGTCTGAATCCCCTGTGGAGACCTTAGAGAAAGCCCTAGGTCCCTGCGTCTTTTTGACGGAATGCCTCATATCCCGCTGACACCTTGAGAGGCACGCGGAGTTCATTGCTTCAAAAGGTGACGATGCCTGACTCCTCTTGAATACTGATAGGAATCCCAAAATCCCTGTGGCTACTGGAAAGGGTCCTTTGGTGCCCTGCGTCACCTCGAGAAGCGTCCCTTTTGCCCTGCCAAGCCTCGAAGGGATTCCTGAGGTGTCCCTCGTTACTAGACAGGAGTCCTGACGTCACTGAAGAAACTCGTGTTTTGAAGGGCCATCCGCGCCTTAAGTCGAGAACATACCCCAGGTCCCCGCCGCAACTCGAGAAAAACCATGAGACTTCCCCCTAGAGGCGAGATGAGGCCCCATTCCCCTGCAGTGCATGCAGAGCTATTCCGTGATCCCATTCAAACAAGTCAGGAGCTTCGACTTGCTTAATGGATCTCGAGACAGTCCCCAAGAACACTGTCACCAGTCTAGACGGACCCTGAGGTCACCGCAGCAACGCAAAGCAGCTCCATGTGCCCCAAATCAACTCGAGATGAGGCCCGATTCCCCTGCATTGACTCCAGAGCCTTTCCCCGTTCCCCATTCAACACGGCCGGTGGCTCAACTTCCTTCAGGCAACTCCAGAGATGCCCCGAGAACACTGTCCCAAGTCTAGAGGAACACCAACTTCAGCACAGCAATTCGAGGAATGCTCCGTGCACCCCAAATCGTCTCGAGATGAGAGCTGATTACCTGGCTTAGGCTCAAGACGTATGCCAACTTTCCAGAAGCACCTCGGAGGAGGCTTCTCTCAGCAATAGGTTTGTGGGAGGGACCCCGAGTATGCTGCCTCAAGGGGAATATACAGCGAGAAGCCCTAACTTGAAAGGAGGCCGGATTTCCTTGCAGTGGCTAGAATACAGGCTCGTCTTTGATCTCAAAACCTGAAGGGATGTCTGAATCCCCTGTGGAGACCTTAGAGAAAGCCCTAGGTCCCTGCCTCATTTTGACGGAAAGCCTCACATCGCGCTGACACCTCGAGAGGCACGTGGAGTTCATTGCTTCAAAAGGTGACGATGCGTGACTCCTCTTGAATACTGATAGGAATCCCAAAATCCCTGTGGCTACTGGAAAGGGTCCTTGGGTGCCCTGCCTCACCTCGAGAAGCGTCCCTTTTGCCCTGCCAAGCCTCGAAGAGATTCCTGACGTGGCCCTCGTTACTAGACAGGAGTCCTGACGTCACTGAAGAAACTCGTGTTTTGAAGGGCCATCCCCGCCGTAAGTCGAGAACATACTCCAGGTCCCCACCGCAACTCGAGAAAAACCATGAGACTTCCCCGTAGAGGCGAGATGAGGCCCCATTCCCATGCAGTGCATGCAGAGCTATTCCGTGATCCCATTCAAACAAGTCAGGAGCTTCTACTTGCTTAATGGATCTCGAGACAGTCCCCAAGAACACTGTCACCAGTCTAGACTTAAGTTGAGGTCACCCCAGCAACGGAAAGCAGCTCCATGTGCCCCAAGTCAACTCGAGATGAGGCCCGATTCCCCTGCATTGACTCCAGAGCCATTCCCCGTTCCCCATTCAACACGACCGGTGGCTCGACTTCCTTCAGTCAACTCCAGAGATGCCCCGAGAACACTGTCCCAAGTCTAGAGGAACTCCAAGTTCAGCAGAGCAACTCGAGGAATGCTCCGTGTACCCCATATCGTCTCGAGATGAGAGCTGATTCCCTGGCTTAGGCTCAAGACGTATGCCAACTTTCCAGAAGCACCTCAGGAGGAGGCTTCTCTCAGCAATAGGTATGTGGGAGGGACCCCGAGTTTGCTGCCTCAAGGGGAATATACAGCGAGAAGCCCTAACTTGAAAGGAGGCCGGATTTCCTTGCAGTGGCTTGAATACAGGCTCGTCTTTCATGTCACAACATGAAGGGATGTCTGAATCCCCTGTGGAGACCTTAGAGAAAGCCCTAGGTCCCTGCCTCATTTTGACGGAATGCCTCACATCCCGCTGACACCTCGAGAGGCACGCGGAGTTCATTGCTTCAAAAGGTGACGATGCCTGACTCCTCTTGAATACTGATAGGAATCCCAAAATAACTCTGGCTACTGGAAAGGGTCCTTGGGTGCCCTGTCACACCTCGAGAAGCGTCCCTTTTGCCCTTCCAAGCCTCGAAGAGATTCCTGAGGTGTCCCTCGTTACTAGACAGGAGTCCTGACGTCACTGAAGAAACTCGTGTTTTGAAGGGCCATCCCCGCCGTAAGTCGAGAACATACCCCAGGTCCCCACCACAACTCGAGAAAAACCATGAGACTTCCCCCTAGAGGCGAGATGAGGCCCCATTCCCCTGCAGTGCATGCAGAGCTATTCCGTGATCCCATTCAAAAAAGTCAGGAGCTTCTACTTGCTTAATGGATCTCAAGACAGTCCCGAAGAACACTGTCACCAGTTTAGACGGACCCTGAGGTCACCGCAACAACGCAAAGCAGCTCCATGTGCCCCAAATCAACTCGAGATGAGGCCCAATTCCCCTGCATTGACTCCAGAGCCTTTCCCCGTTCCCCATTCAACACGACCGGTGGCTCGACTTCCTTCAGGCAACTCCAGAGATGCCCCGAGAACACTGTCCCAAGTCCAGAGGAACACCAACTTCAGCACAGCAACTCGAGGAATGCTCCGTGTACCCCAAATCGTCTCGAGATGAGAGCTGATTCCCTGGCTTAGGCTCAAGACGTATGCCAACTTTCCAGAAGCACCTCAGGAGGAGGTTTCTCTCAGCAATAGGTATGTGGGAGGGACCCCGAGTATGCTGCCTCAAGGGGAATATACAGCGAGAAGCAATAACTTGAAAGGAGGCCGGATTTCCTTGCAGTGGCTTGAATACAGGCTCGTCTTTCATCTCACAACATGAAGGTAGGTCTGAATCCCCTGTGGAGACCTTAGAGAAAGCCGTAGGTCCCTGCGTCTTTTTGACGGAATGCCTCATATCCCGCTGACACTTCGATAGGCACGCGGAGTTCATTGCTTCAAAAGGTGACGATGCCTGACTCCTCTTGAATACTGATAGGAATCCCAAAATCCCTGTGGCTACTGGAAAGGGTCCTTGGGTGCCCTGCCTCACCTCGAGAAGCGTCCCTTTTGCTCTGCCAAGCCTCGAAGAGATTCCTGAGGTGTCCCTCGTTACTAGACAGGAGTCCTGACGTCACTGAAGAAACTCGTGTTTTGAAGGGCCATCCGCGCCTTAAGTCGAGAACATACCCCAGGTCCCCGCCGCAACTCGAGAAAAACCATGAGACTTCCCCCTAGAGGCGAGATGAGGCCCCATTCCCCTGCAGTGCATGCAGAGCTATTCCGTGATCCCATTCAAACAAGTCAGGAGCTTCGACTTGCTTAATGGATCTCGAGACAGTCCCCAAGAACACTGTCACCAGTCTAGACGGACCCTGAGGTCACCGCAGCAACGCAAAGCAGCTCCATGTGCCCCAAATCAACTCGAGATGAGGCCCGATTCCCCTGGATTGACTCCAGAGCCTTTCCCCGTTCCCCATTCAACATGACCGGTGGCTTGACTTCCTTCAGGCAACTCCAGAGATGCCCCGAGAACACTGTCCCAAGTCTAGAGGAACACCAACTTCAGCACAGCAACTCGAGGAATGCTCCGTGTACCACAAATCGTCTCGAGATGAGAGCTGATTCCCTGGCTTAGGCTCAAGACGTATGCCAACTTTCCAGAAGCACCTCGGAGGAGGCTTCTCTCAGCAATAGGTTTGTGGGAGGGACCCCGAGTATGCTGCCTCAAGGGGAATATACAGCGAGAAGCCCTAACTTGAAAGGAGGCCGGATTTCCTTGCAGTGGCTAGAATACAGGCTCGTCTTTGATCTCAAAACCTGAAGGGATGTCTGAATCCCCTGTGGAGACCTTAGAGAAAGCCCTAGGTCCCTGCCTCATTTTGACGGAATGCCTCACATCGCGCTGACACCTCGAGAGGCACGTGGAGTTCATTGCTTCAAAAGGTGACGATTCCTGACTCCTCTTGAATAATGATAGGAATCCCAAAATCCCTGTGGCTACTGGAAAGGGTCCTTGGGTGCCCTGCCTCACCTCGAGAAGCGTCCCTTTTGCCCTGCCAAGCCTCGAAGAGATTCCTGAGGTGTCCCTCGTTACTAGACAGGAGTCCTGACGTCACTGAAGAAACTCGTGTTTTGAAGGGCCATCCCCACCTTAAGTCGAGAACATAACCCAGGTCCCCGCCGCAACTCGAGAAAAACCATGAGACTTCCCCCTAGAGGCGAGATGAGGCCCCATTCCCCTGCAGTGCATGCAGAGCTATTCCGTGATCACATTCAAACAAGTCAGGAGCTTCGACTTGCTTAATGGATCTCGAGACAGTCCCCAAGAACACTGTCACCAGTCTAGACGGACCCTGAGGTCACCCCAGCAACGCAAAGCAGCTCCATGTCCCCCAAATCAACTCGAGATGAGGCCGGATTCCCCTGCATTGACTCCAGAGCCATTCACCGTTCCCCATTCAACAAGACCGGTGGCTCGACTTCCTTCAGGCAACTCTAGAGATGCCCCGAGAACACTGCCCCAAGTCTAGAGGAACTCCAACTTCAGCACAGCAACTCGAGGAATGCTCCGTGTACCCCAAATCGTCTCGAGATGAGAGCTGATTCCCTGGCTTAGGCTCAAGACATATGCCAACTTTCCTGAAGCACCTCAGGAGGAGGCTTCTCTCAGCAATAGGTATGTGGGAGGGACCTCGAGTTTGCTGCCTCAAGGGGAATATACAGCGACAAGCCCTAACTTGAAAGGAGGCCGGATTTCCTTGCAATGGCTTGAATACAGGCTCGTCTTTCATCTCACAACATGAAGGGATGTCTGAATCCCCTGTGGAGACCTTAGAGAAAGACGTAGGTCTCTGCCTCATTTTGACGGAATGCCTCACATCCCGCTGACACCTCGAGAGGAATGCGGAGTTCATTGCTTCAAAAGATGACGATGCCGGACTCCTCTTGAATACTGATAGGAATCCCAAACTCCCTGTGGCTACTGGAAAGGGTCCTTGGGTGCCCTGCCTCACCTCGAGAAGCGTCCCTTTTGCCCTGCCAAGTCTCGAGGAGATTCCTGAGGTGTCCCTCGTTACTAGACAGGAGTCCTGACGTCACTGAAGAAACTCGTGTTTTGAAGGTCCATCCCCGCCGTAAGTCGAGAACATACCCCAGGTCCCCGCCGCAACTGGAAAAAAACCATGAGACTTCCCCCTAGAGGCCAGATGAGGCCCCATTCCCCTGCAGTGCATGCAGAGCTATTCCGTGATCCCATTCAAACAAGTCAGGAGCTTCGACTTGCTTAATGGATCTCGAGACAGTCCCCAAGAACACTGTCACCAGTCTAGACGGACCTTGAGGTCACCCCAGCAACGGAAAGCAGCTCCATGTGCCCCAAGTCAACTCGAGATGAGGCCCGATTCCCCTGCATTGACTCCAGAGCCATTCCCCGTTCCCCATTCAACACGACCGGTGGCTCGACTTCCTTCAGGCAACTCCAGAGATGCCCCGAGAACACTGTCCCAAGTCTAGAGGAACTCCAACCTCAGCAGAGCAACTCGAGGAATGCTCCGTGTACCCCAAATCGTCTCGAGATGAGAGCTGATTCCCTGGCTTATGCTCAAGACGTATGCCAACTTTCCAGAATCACCTAAGGAGGAGGCTTCTCTCAGCAATAGGTATGTGGGAGGGACCCCGAGTTTGCTGCCTCAAGGGGAATATACAGCGAGAAGCCCTAACTTGAAAGGAGGCCGGATTTCCTTGCAGTGGCTTGAATACAGGCTCGTCCTTCATGTCACAACATGAAGGGATGTCTGAATCCCCTGTGGAGACCTTAGAGAAAGCCCTAGGTCCCTGCCTCATTTTGACGGAATGCCTCACATCCCGCTGACACCTCGAGAGGCACGCGGAGTTCATTGCTTCAAAAGGTGACGATGCCTGACTCCTCTTGAATACTGATAGGAATCCCAAAATAACTCTGGCTACTGGAAACGGTCCTTGGGTGCCCTGCCTCACCTCGAGAAGCGTCCCTTTTGCCCTGCCAAGCCTCGAAGATATTCCTGAGGTGTCCCCCGTTACTAGACAGGAGTCCTGACGTCACTGAAGAAACTCGTGTTTTGAAGGACCATCCCTGCCGTAAGTCGAGAACATAACCCAGGTCCCCGCCGCAACTCGAGAAAAACCATGAGACTTCCCCCTAGAGGCGAGATGAGGCCCCATTCCCCTGCAGTGCATGCAGAGCTATTCCGTGATCCCATTCAAACAAGTCAGGAGCTTCGACTTGCATAATGGATCTCGAGACAGTCCCCAAGAACACTGTCACCAGTCTAGACGGACCCTGAGGTCACCGCAGCAACGCAAAGCAGCTCCATTTGCCCCAAGTCAACTCGAGATGAGGCCCCATTCCCCTGCATTGACTCCAGAGCCATTCCCCATTCCCCATTCAACACGACCGGTGGCTCAACTTCCTTCAGGCAACTCCAGAGATGCCCCGAGAACACTGTCCCAAGTCTAGAGGAATTCCAACTTCAGCACAGCAACTCGAGGAATGCTCCGTGTACCCCAAATCATCTCGAGATGAGAGCTGATTCCCTGGCTTAGGCTCAAGACGTATGCCAACTTTCCAGAACCACCTCAGGAGGAGGATTCTCTCAAAAATATGTATGTGGGAAGGACCCCTAGGTTGCTGCCTCAAGGGGAATATACAGCGAGAAGCCCTAACTTGAAAGGAGGCCGGATTTCTTTGCAGGGGCTTGAATACAGGCTCGTCTTTCATCTCACAACATGAAGGGATGTCTGAATCCCTTGTGGAGACCTTAGAGAAAGCCTTAGGTCCCTGCCTCATTTTGACAGAATGCCTCACATCCCGCTGACACCACGAGAGGTATGTGGAGTTCATTGCTTCAAAAGGTGACGATGCCTGACTCCTCTTGAATACTGATAGGAATCCCAAAATCCCTGTGGCTACTGGAAAGGGTCCTTGGGTGCCCTGCCTCACCTCGAGAAGCGTCCCTTTTGCCCTGCCAAGCCTCGAAGAGATTCCTGAGGTGTCCCTCGTTACTAGACAGGAGTCCTGACGTCACTGAAGAAACTCGTGTTTTGAAGGGCCATCCCCGCCGTAAGTCGAGAACATACCCCAGGTCCCCGCCGCAACTCGAGAAAAACCATTAGATTTCCCCCTAGAGGCGAGATGAGGCCCCATTCGCCTGCAGTGCATGCAGAGCTATTCCGTGATCCCATTCAAACAAGTCAGGAGCTTCGACTTGCTTAATGGATCTCGAGACAGTCCCCAAGAACACTGTCACCAGTCTAGACGGATCCTGAGGTCACCCCAGCAACGCAAAGCAGCTCCATGTGCCCCACATCAACTCGAGATGAGGCCCGATTCCCCTGGATTGACTCCAGAGCCATTCCCCGTTCCCCATTCAACACGACCGGTGGCTCGACTTCCTTCAGGCAACTCCAGAGATGCCCCGAGAACACTGTCCAAAGTCTAGAGGAACACTAACTTCAGCACAGCAACTCGAGGAATGCTCCCTGGACCCCAAATCGACTCGAGATGAGAGCTGATTCCCTGGCTTATGCTCAAGACGTATGCCAACTTTCCAGAAGCACCTCAGGAGGAGGCTTCTCTCAGCAATAGGTATGTGGGATGGACCCCGAGTTGATGCCAAAAGGGGAATATACAGCGAGAAGCCCTAACTTGAAAGGAGGCCGGATTTCCTTTCAGTGGCTAGAATACAGGTTCGTCTTTGATCTCAAAACCTGAAGGGATGTCTGAATCCCCTGTGGAGACCATAGACAAAGCCCTAGGTCCCTGCCTCATTTTGACCGAATGCCTCACATCCCGCTGACACCTCGAGAGGTACGTGGAGTTCATTGCTTCAAAAGGTGACGATGCCTGACTCCTCTTGAATACTGATAGGAATCCCAAAATCCCTGTGGCTACTGGAAAGGGTCCTTGGGTGCCCTGCCTCACCTCGAGAAGCGTCCCGTTTGCCCTGCCAAGCCTCGAAGAGATTCCTGAGGTGTCCCTCGTTACTAGACAGGAGTCCTGACGTCACTGAAGAAACTCGTGTTTTGAAGGGCCATCCCCGCCGTAAGTCGAGAACATACCCCAGGTCCCCGCCGCAACTCGAGAAAAACCATGAGATTTCCCCCTAGAGGCGAGATGAGGCCCCATTCCCCTGCAGTGCATGCAGAGCTATTCTGTGATCCCATTCAAACAAGTCAGGAGCTTCGACTTGCTTATTGGATCTCGAGACAGTCCCCAAGGACACTGTCACCAGTCTAGACGGACCCTGAGGTCACCGCAGCAACGCAAAGCAGCTCCATGTGCCCCAAATCAACTCGAGATGAGGCTCGATTCCCCTGGCTTGACTCCAGAGCCTTTCCCCGTTCCCCATTCAACACGACCGGTGGCTCGACTTCCTTCAGGCAACTCCAGAGATGCCCCGAGAACACTGTCCGAAGTCTACAGGAACACCAACTTCAGCACAGCAACTCGAGGAATGCTCCGTGTACCCCAAATCGTCTCGAGATGAGAGCTGATTCCCTGGCTTAGGCTCAAGACGTATGCCAAATTTCCAGAAGCACCTCAGGAGGAGGCTTCTCTCAGCAATAGGTATGTGGGTGGGGCCCCGAGTATGCTGCCTCAAGGGGAATATACAGCGAGAAGCCCTAACTTGAAAGGAGGCCGGATTTCCTTGCAGTGGCTAGAATACAGGCTCGTCTTTGATCTCAAAACCTGAAGGGATGTCTGAATCCCCTGTTGAGACCTTAGAGAAAGCCCTAGGTCGCTGCCTCATTTTGACGGAATGCCTCACATCGCGCTGACACCTCGAGAGGCACGCAGAGTTCATTGCTTCAAAAGGTGAAGATGCCTGACTCCTCTTGAATACTGATAGGAATCCCAAAATAACTCTGGCTACTGGAAACGGTCCTTGGGTGCCCTGCCTCACCTCGAGAAGCGTCCCTTTTACCCTGCCAAGCCTCGAAGAGATTCCTGAGGTGTCCCCCGTTACTAGACAGGAGTCCTGACGTCACTGAAGAAACTCGTGTTTTGAAGGGCCATCCCCGCCGTAAGTCTAGAACATAACCCAGGTCCCCGCCGCAACTCGAGAAAAACCATGAGACTTCCCCCTAGAGGCGAGATGAGGCCCCATTCCCCTGCAGTGCATGCAGAGCTATTCCGTGATCCCATTCAAACAAGTCAGGAGCTTCGACTTGCTTAATGGATCTCGAGACAGTCCCCAAGAACACTGTCACCAGTCTAGACGGACCCTGAGGTCACCGCAGCAACGCAAAGCAGCTCCATTTGCCCCAAGTCAACTCGAGATGAGGCCCCATTCCCCTGCATTGACTCCAGAGCCATTCCCCGTTCCCCATTCAACACGACCGGTGGCTCAACTTCCTTCAGGCAACTCCAGAGATGCCCCGAGAACACTGTCCCAAGTCTAGAGGAATTCCAACTTCAGCACAGCAACTCGAGGAATGCTCCGTGTACCCCAAATCGTCTCGAGATGAGAGGTGATTCCCTGGCTTAGATGAAGACGTATGCCAACTTTCCAGAAGCTCCTCAGGAGGCTTCTCTCAGCCATAGTTATGTGGGAGGGACCCCGAGTTTGCTGCCTCAAGGGGAATATACAGCGAGAAGCCCTAACTCGAAAGGAGGCCGGATTTCTTTGCAGTGGCTTGAATACAGGCTCGTCTTTCATCTCACAACATGAAGGGATGTCTGAATCCCCTGTGGAGACCTTAGAGAAAGCCCTAGTTCCCTGCCTCATTTTGACGGAATGCCTCACATCCCGCTGACACGTCGAGAGGCACACGGAGTTCATTGCTTCAAAAGGTGACGATGCCTGACTCCTCTTGAATACTGATAGGAATCCCAAAATCCCTGTGGCTACTGGAAAGTGTCCTTGGTGCCCTGCCTCACCTATACAAGTGTCCCTTTTGCCCTGCCAAGCCTCGAAGATATTCCTGAGGTGTCCCTCGTTACTAGACAGGAGTCCTGACGTCACTGAAGAAACTCGTGTTTTGAAGGGCCATCCCCGCCGTAAGTCGAGAACATACCCCAGGTCCCCGCCGCAACTCGAGAAAAACCATGAGACTTCCCCCTAGAGGCGAGATGAGGCCCCATTCCCCTGCAGTGCATGCAGAGCTATTCCGTGATCCCATTCAAACAAGTCAGGATCTTCGACTTGCTTAATGGATCTCGAGACAGTCCCCAAGAACACTGTCACCAGTCTAGACGGACCCTGAGGTCACCCCAGCAACGCAAAGCAGCTCCATGTCCCCCAAATCAACTCGAGATGAGGCCCGATTCCCCTGCATTGACTCCAGAGCCATTCCCCGTTCCCCATGCAACACGACCGGTGGCTCGACTTCCTTCAGGCAACTCCAGAGATGCCCCGAGAACACTGTTCCAAATCTAGAGGAACACCAACTTCAGCACAGCAACTCGAGGAATGCTCCGTGTACCCCAAATCGTCTCGAGATGAGAGCTGATTCCCTGGCTTAGGCTCAAGACGTATGCCAACTTTCCAGAAGCACCTCAGAGGAGGCTTCTCTCAGCAATAGCTATGTGGGAGGGACCGCGAGTTTGCTGCCTCAAGGGGAATATACAGCGAGAAGCCCAAACTTGAAAGGAGGCCGGATTTCCTTGCAGTGGCTTGAATACAGGCTCGTCTTTCATCTCACAACATGAAGGGATGTCTGAATCCCCTGTGGAGACCTTAGAGAAATCCCTAGGTCCCTGCCTCATTTTGACGGAATGCCTCACATCCCGCTGACAACTCGAGAGGCACGCGGAGTTCATTGCTTCAAAAGGTGACGATGCCTGACTCCTCCTGAATACTGATAGGAATCCCCAAATCCCTGTGGCTACTGGAAAGGGTCCTTGGGTGCCCTGCCTCACCTGTAGAAGCGTCCCTTTTGCCCTGCCAAGCCTCGAAGAGATTCCTGAGATGTCCCTCGTTACTAGACAGGAGTCCTGACGTCACTGAAGAAACTCGTGTTTTGAAGGGCCATCACCGCCGTAAGTCGAGAACATACCCCAGGTCCCCACCGCAACTCGAGAAAAACCATGAGACTTCCCCCTAGGGGCGAGATGAGGCCCCATTCCCCTGCAGTGGATGCAGAGCTATTCCGTGATCCCATTCAAACAAGTCAGGAGCTTCGACTTGCTTAATGGATCTCGAGACAGTCCCCAAGAACACTGTCACCAGTCTAGACGAAACCTGAGGTCACCGCAGCAACGCAAAGCAGCTCCATGTGCCCCAAATCAACTCGAGATGATTCTCGATTCCCCTGGATTGACTCCAGAGCCATTCCCCGTTCCCCATTCAACACGACCGGTGGCTCGACTTCCTTCAGGCAACTCCAGAGATGCCCCGAGAACACTATCCGAAGTCTACAGGAACACCAACTTCAGCACAGCAACTCGAGGAATGCTACGTATACCCCAAAACGTCTCGAGATGAGAGCTGATTCCCTGGCTTAGGCTCAAGACGTATGCCAACTTTCCAGAAGCACCTCAGGAGGAGGCTTCTCTCAGCAATATGTATGTGGGTGGGACCCCGAGTATGCTGCCTCAAGGGGAATATACAGCGAGAAGCCCTAACTTGAAAGGAGGCCGGATTTCCTTGCAGTGGCTAGAATACAGGCTCGTCTTTGATCTCAAAACCTGAAGGGATGTCTGAATCCCCTGTTGAGACCTTAGAGAAAGCCCTAGGTCCCTGCCTCATTTTGACGGAATGCCTCACATCGCGCTGACACCTCAAGAGGCACACGGAGTTCATTGCTTCAAAAGGTGACGATGCCTGACTCCTCTTGAATACTGATAGGAATCCCAAAATCCCTGTGGCTACTGGAAAGGGTCCTTGGGTGCCCTGCCTCACCTATACAAGTGTCCCTTTTGCCCTGCCAAGCCTCGAAGATATTCCTGAGGTGTCCCTCGTTACTAGACAGGAGTCCTGACGTCACTGAAGAAACTCGTGTTTTGAAGGGCCATCCCCGCCGTAAGTCGAGAACATACCCCAGGTCCCCGCCGCAACTCGAGAAAAACCATGAGACTTCCCCCTAGAGGCGAGATGAGGCCCCATTCCCCTGCAGTGCATGCAGAGCTATTCCGTGATCCCATTCAAACAAGTCAGGAGCTTCGACTTGCTTAATGGATCTCGAGACAGTCCCCAAGAACACTGTCACCAGTCTAGACGGACCCTGAGGTCACCGCCCCAACGCAAAGCAGCTCCATGTGCCCCAAGTCAACTCCAGATGAGGCCTGATTCCCCTGCATTGAATCCAGAGCCAATCCCCGTTCCCCATTCAACACGACCGGTGGCTCAACTTCCTTCAGGCAACTCCAGAGATGCCCCGAGAACACTGTCCCAAATCTAGAGGAACTTCAACTTCAGCACAGCAACTCGAGGAATGCTCCGTGTACCCCAAATCGTCTCGAGATGAGAGCTGATTCCCTGGCTTAGACTGAAGACGTATGCCAACTTTCCAGAAGCTCCTCAGGAGGCTTCTCTCAGCCATAGGTATGTGGGAGGGACCCTGAGTTTGCTGGCTCAAGGGGAATATACAGCGAGAAGCCCTAATTAGAAAGGAGGCCGGATTTCCTTGCAGTGGATTGAATACAGGCTCGTCTTTCATCTCACAACATGAAGGGATGTCTGAATCCCCTGTGGAGACCTTAGAGAAAGCACTAGGTCCCTGCCTAATTTTGACGGAATGCCTCACATCCCACTGACACCTCGAGAGGCACGCGGAGTTCATTGCTTCAAAAGGTGACGATGCCTGACTCCTCTTGAATACTGATAGGAATCCCAAAATCCCTGTGGCTAATGGAAAGGGTCCTTGGGTGCCCTGCCTCACCTGTAGAAGCGTCCCTTTTGCCCTGCCAAGCCTCGAAGAGATTACTGAGGTGTCCCTCGTTACGAGACAGGAGTCCTGACGTCACTGAAGAAACTCGTGTTTTGAAGGGCCATCCCCGCCGTAAGTCGAGAACATACCCCAGGTCCCCACCGCAACTCGAGAAAAACCATGAGACTTCCCCCTAGAGGCGAGATGAGGCCCTATTCCCCTGCAGTGCATGCAGAGCTATTCCGTGATCCCACTCAAACAAGTCAGGAGCTTCGACTTGCTTAATGGATCTCGAGACAGTCCCCAAGAACACTGTCACCAGTCTAGACGGACCCTGAGGTAACCCCAGCCATGCAAAGCAGCTCCATGTCCCCCAAATCAACTCGAGATGCGGCCCGATTCCCCTGCATTGACTCCAGAGCCATTCCCCGTTCCCCATTCAACACGACCGGTGGCTCGACTTCCTTCAGGCAACTCCAGAGATGCCCCGAGAACACTGTCCCAAGTCTAGAGGAACTCCAACTTCAGCACAGCAACTCGAGGAATGCTCCGTGTACCCCAAATCGTCTCGAGATGAGAGCTGATTAGCTGGCTTAGGCTCAAGACGTATGCCAACTTTCCAGAAGCACCTCAGGAGGAGGCTTCTCTCAGCAATAGGTATGTGGGAGGGACCCCGAGTTTGCTGCCTCAAGGGGAATATACAGCGAGAAGCCCTAACTTGAAAGGAGGCCGGATTTCCTTGCAGTGGCTTGAATA